TATATATATATATATATATATATATATATATATTTCTCACGATGTTATTATTTTTCCTAAAGATTGATTGAAATTCCTGCTTACAGTCATAGGTTGCGAGAAATGAACTCGTTTGAGGTTGACTCATATCAAAATCGCTTTGTTTCCTCATAAGATGTCAAGTAAGAAATGCTATAGAGGGAATTCCGAAAGTTTTTCTTTAACAAGCTGAAGGTAACGAGCCAACGTAAAATGGCATCTACAATTCGCAAGTACCAAGTTCGTGCTTGCGAAGATCTTTACGAAGACGTTTTTATGGCGCTTTCATAGCGTTTTAAACCATTGGGATCTGGTTGCCGCAGGTCATGCTCTAGACTAAGACATTTTTATCGCATAATGCTCATTAACTTGCGATTCGATAACGTCCATCTAGTCGTCCCCTTATCGGGCATGGTCTCTTTCTCTCTGTCTTTACGATTAAACTTTCACGTAAAACTTCCGGCAAGAGCAAACTGGGAACTTCCGGCGTCGTTCTATGTTCTCGCTTCAATTATCCATCTTACCTTCGACTGCTTCTTCTTAGACTCCCCACCTTCTCCATCTTCTTCGTCTTTTATCCCCTTAAAATACGTTTTATTACTTTCCGCATTAGTACCTATAATGACTCCTCTTTCTTCGACTTCGTTTCTTTGTTCATGGAAAAATCAATCGTATTAAGCCGATCATAGGTCTATGAAACTTTCGATTTATGAGATAATTGACCTTAATAGAGCAACACTGATGGTTTGTACGAAACAATGAAAAAAATGAAATGAAATTTTCTCTTGATAAATATTTATGTTTTATATTTAAGATTTGTGAATGTTTCCTTCATCATTAGATAATAAAACCTTTCGGGTTTTTTAAATTCTCATTTTATATTATATCATTAAACACAAGTAAAAATATTCTAAAATATGACGTTTTTTATTGCGATAAATATTAAATTTTTATTATTTTAATATGTATCCTTTAAAAATATAAGATATATTATTAACATTGCTAGGTTGAATTGGAAAAGGAAATACAAGAAAAATAGAAATTAATTACGAAAATATTTTGTTCTAATTTTTCTATTGCCAATTTAACATCAAAATTTCATTTTAAGCTCTTAAATATTAAATGCCTCAAATGCTTTAAATTTACACTGAACATCTTGAATTACTAATGACTTACTGATTCAGTAATGCATATATATTTAGCTGAAACGCGATATAACTTTAACTATTGTATTATTGGGAGTACAAATTAGTTCGGTCCGTTTCCCTAAAGATTGCTCCAGCTGTTGTGAATGGTTCATAGACAGCTGATTTTGGCGGTTTCAGAGAGGTTAAACATCTGCTAATAATATTCAGTTTATATCGCTTTGAGTTTCATACAAAAACCTTGATTTTTACTGTGTTTGAAATGTCGAATTTTGTGTTAACCAAGCAGCATTTGCGAGAGGTTTTGATTTTCTGCTGTAATTGGAAGAAAAGTGCGGCTGAAGCCCATCGAATACTTGTCGAAGTTTATGGTGACACTGCGCCAACTGATAAATGTAGGGAATGGTTTGGACATTTCGAGGATGGAGATTTCAGCGTTGAAAACAAACCTCGCTCTGGACAGCCAAAAAAATTCGAAGACAAAGAATTAGAGATTACTCGAAGAAGATCAGAGTCAAACGCAAGAGGAGCTTGCAGAATCATTGGGGGTAACTCAACAAGTCGTTTCTGTACGATTGAGAGCCATGGGAATGATTCAAAAATAAGGAAATTGGGTGCCTTATGAACTGAAATCGAGAGACGCTGAAAAACGATTTTTCACTTGCGAACAGCTGATTCAAAGACAACAGAGAAAAGGTTTTCTGCATCGGATTGTGACTGGAGATGAGAAGTGGATATTCTACGACAACCCCAAGAAATAAAAATACTATGCTAAGCTCGGTCAATTGTTGCCATCGACCTCAACATCAACACCACGGCCGAACATTCGATTCGAAGATCATACTCTGTATCTGGTGGGACCAAAAAGATCTTGTTTACTATGAGCTGCTGAAACCTGGCGATTCCATTACGGGCGATCGGTATCGGCTATAATTGATTCGTTTGAGTCATTGCGAGAAAAACGACCGGAATACAAGCAAAGACATGATAAAGTCATTCTTCTTCATGACAATGCTCGGCCTCATGTCGCTAAAGTCGTAAAAAAATATTTGGAAACGCTCAAATGGTATGTTTTACCGCACCCGCCGTATTCTCCGGACATTGCTCTTTACTGGTTGTTCCAAAAGATGCAGCAAGTCACCGGTTCACTTCTTTCGCAGAAATCGAAAATTGGTTCCAATATTGGATCGCCTCCATTTTTTCGAGATGGAATTTGAAAATTGTATGAGAGAAAAAGTAGTAGGCAGCGATGGACAATACTTTAATTGATCTGTTCATTCATTTTGTTTTGAAATAAATGCATTTTTGAACACAAAAAAACGGACCGACTAACTAATTTGTACTCCCAATAATATCTTTGATTTAAAATGATTAATTGATAATGAAAAGAGAAAAACATATATGTCAAGACATAAAATATTTATCAACTTTTAAATTACAGGATATCGTAAAATATCGTATATACTATTATATTTGATATTTCTTTGCTATTGCGATATTGAAGGGAATATTTGCGACAATTTCGTTTTTGATCTTATTCTAGTACATAACCAGAATGCACATAATAGAAGATTTCATCACTGTACTCGCACAGATCTGATCGAATATAATAACACGGCATGTCATTATGACCTTTTAATATGGAGGCAACAGCGTCTCTCTCGCATTCATTTTATCGATAACGCGGCCATGGAGAAATACGTAATTGAATCGGAGAATCATATTATACGTTGACGAAACTGATGTCATCTTACAATGTATCTCGTCGACGCTCAGCGCAGGGAGGATTCGTTTCTGCAGGGGGAGTCTTGTGAGTTTTTCACATGCAAGGAATCGGCAGTTTTTTGCTCCATTTAACCGCGTTTCGATCTCCTCCCGTCCTCCGACCTCCATTTTTTTCGACACGACGGAAGCTCGCACTCCCCATCAGTCGATCCATTCTTTTTGTATTCTTTATTTACGGAGCTCTGTCCACATCATCCCATCTTCCATTTCCGCACCCCTCTTTGCGAATCATCCCGCGTCTCGCTTGCTTCCTCCCTGTCTTCCTCTTCTTGTTGTTTTCATCTCATATTTCTTTGTATCTTTCTGTCTTTTTTACCATGCATACCTTCATCCTTTTTATCACGCCATCATATTGGTTTTGCTATTGGCTTTGTTGTTGCCTTGTTCTTCTCATCCTTATCTTTTTGTTCTCTTTCTTTCTTTAGTTTGTCTAAACTTTCTCCGTTAATACATTTTAAGTTTCTGTAACTTTCATTTTTCTTTTTCTCTCTCAAACTATCTCGTCGTTCGTTTTCCTTACTTTACTCAGTATTCCTTTACTAACGTATTCTACTTTGCCTGTTCGAGCTTTTTCTATCGAGATTTCTTGGCATTTCTCTGTCTCCATTAACCTATTCTCTTTGTAAACTTCTACCTCCTATTTCATTCATATTCTTTTTACTTCCAGTTTTTTTTATTTTCTTTCTGCTTTCTTCTTATCTACTAACATATTTAATATTCTATTACCTCGTTGTCTTTTTCTTCTTGCGCCTTTAAAATTTTTTATTCCCTTTTTAATTTATTATTGTATTTTAATAATTTTGGTTTTCCTCTTTCAATTTTTCATTATAACACATTTCAATTTGTTTAGAGTTAATTTATATACAAACATATGTAAAATAACATTAAACACAATAAAATAATTGTAAATTGTGCGTTAACTTTTTTCTGTTTGCATTACGAATGTACGTACACATTTTATTTCTCACGAAAAAATATTACGATGTATGTAATAAAGTAATACGTTTAAATGTTTTCATATAAATAATTCATCAATCTTTCGATTAAGCACAGCAATAAAGCTATTTAGTAATTAATAATTCTTTCTTGTTAGTAAATGTTTTTAATTACGAAAATATAAATGTTTTATTGATTATTAATTATCAATTATTGACAATCGACTTTGTTTTGTACCTACAGTTTTTATGTGATTCAGCAATAAAATCATCTTTCAGTACAGATGTTTTTGAGAAGTCTCTATATGATACGTAATAGCTTTCAACAGAGTATCATCGCGAAAAGAAGATCGATACGTAAGCGCGCTATGAAAATATTTTGCGTACGAAGTATATTCTCAAAAGCATCTTAATAATATCCGATAATATTATCGTAATATTCGATGATCAGAAAGAAATTGCACCATCCGGAAACTGTAATTACATTTTTTATCATTTCCCAATAAACGTTATTTCTTTCTGTAGATCGCTTATAACGTTTGGTGCTTAGTTTCGTTCAGCATTTTTATTTCAAGTATCAATGCTGCGGAGAATAATGCGCATGCGATGTTATAATCCGTATAAGATACCTATATTTTACAAATATTATCTACGGAGAGACGCGAGATGTATTATACGTCGCTACCTGTAATGTAAACACGACACTACATTGTGCTCGCATCATCGTGATTCCCAATAAAGTCCGCAATTTTCAATGGAATCGACCGAGCCAATCGTTACTCGCACCGCGAAATCGGACTGCTCGTCCTTATCGCGCTCACATAGCAAAGAGGATCAAACATTAATAAAAACAAACGCAACACCGGGTGCATCGGCAAATCCTTCGCAAAGCTCCGTCGCATTGTCCGTGTCTGCCCGGCACTCCTGGAAAAATGGTTAATCCGTCCTTTATGATACGACTACCTCCACGCGCGCACGCGCGCGCGCGGATTCTGTCTCCGTTCGGGCGGAAAAAGAAGTGCGCCGACTGTGGAAATGAAATAAGCGCGCGTATATGCATACGCACAAACCGGCCTGCATATACATTCCCATAGTATCTCGTCACCATTTCTATCCGCATCCCTTTCATCTTGCTACCCTCCGCCGTTCTCGTGAGCGAAGGCGAGAGCGTGGCCGTTTCCAAGCCTTCCTCTCGGTAGCTTTCTCTCTCTGCTCTGCCGAGTCGCATCGCAATACCTTCGGATATCACGCGAACGTCCATGCCGGGGATAGCGACATAATTTTCGCGTCGAAGGACCAACCACGCCCCTCGGGGAAGCGTGTAATCCCCGAGCGGGTATACGAACGTCATCCCCGTGTTACAAAAGACGACGGATTTTCAGCGAACGCGCGAATTACGTTTTTGCGTGGTATTTTTACAGCGCACGAGAGCACGAGATTGCCGAAAAAAAAAGGAAAATCATCCACGCAAAACAGAGTAAATCAGATCGTAGCTTTTAATAAAATTCTGCTATTTCATCCAGTTTCACGGAGAAAGACCTGAATCAATAAGCAAGTAGAAAGCAACGTAGCTTTCATTAACGTATGTAATTATAATGCATGTAATTATATCATAATTGATAGAAATATCAATTAGTTGTTTCAAACACAGTGACAAAGTATCATATCATTTTACGTTACATTTATAAGGAATATTCTCAAATGAATAATTTATTATACCAAATATTACTACAATGTGAATGACAAATATTTACAAACTGTAAATACGTGATCAACGTTCTTCTTGCGCAATTCTATGTATATTATTTATTATTTATTTATAAAAGTAAAGCTCACAATTTGATATTTGTAATTATTTTTCTTCTGTAAAGTGAAAATACGACCGTTGAAGCATGCTTGGAAAGAATAATAAATTAGTTTACATGCAAGTACATGAGAAAAATATATTTTACTGAGGGAAATAAACTGATCAGATTATGAAGGTTGTAATTATTTTGCAATAAAAAACTTGTTTTTCTGCAATTTGTAGCAAGAGATAAACTACAATTTACAATGATGATAAACTTTCAGAACTTAACGCATGTTTTTTTCTCAAATATATTTTTTCAATTAATTTTTCATTTAAAAATACATTTAACATATTAATTATTAACTGCATGTTAATCATTAATCGTGTTATTAAAAGCATAAGTATGTATAACTATTTATTATTGTATTACTTAAAATTACTATTGCAATATCAGTATATTGCCAGTATTACTATTGCTATCAGTATATAATTTACTATTACTACTAATAAAACTATTTATCTATTATTGCGCTGAAACATTACTTTAGAAATACTATATCTTAAAAATTAATATGCCATATCTTAAACATTTGATAGAATTTTTCTGATGGCAAATTCGAATTCAGCGCCCCAAAATAGTTAAATCTAATTAAGTGTGAGAAATTCTATTGGATATGTATAAATTCACATTGCAATATTTAAGCGCTAAGATCCGCTTTGAAAATAGAATTTTTCCTACTAATTTTTCTCTTGATTAGATTTATTCTCGGTATTCAATATCGAATTAAAAATCGTTTAAAAAAGTTGCTTCCTTTTCTTACATTAAGGATTATTCAAAATTTGTGAACTAGTTTAATTAATTTTATGCATATCTGAGAAGGACGTGACAATTCGAGCATGAACTGCAAATTATCGAATTGACATAATTTCAGAGACCAAGTGTATTTATGTAATCTGAATTTCACGGACGCTCTCGTGCGAGTTGAGGAACCGTACGAAGGCGCCCAAGCACGCGAACAATGTTTGATACAGCGAGACATGCAAATTTACCTCGATTGCGAGAGCTCGAACTCCGTCACGGGAGGGTGCGTTCGGCGTATACACATGCTTCTCCGATATCCAGAGAACCTTCGTGTAACTTGGCCGAGCACAAAACTCGACGATGATGTCCAGAGATTCGCCCTCGTTCGCCGTCACTGTTTGACTCGGTGGATGAACCATAGGTGGTCCTGCAAAAATAAACGAAAAAATAAACAAGAAAAACAGTTAACCTTTGTCGAACCGGCATAGCTAGCCCTCTTGTTGTATGATCGTAAATCTACTCTTCGTTGGCATGATAGTCGCTTTTTATATTTGCTAAGAGCTTTGTACCTTATTAACGGCGCGAATTTCCATCTAAATAGCTCGTTAACGCGGGGAGAGGGGGGGGGGGAGTAACTCTCGTTCATTTACTCTGATTTTATTTCATTCACGGGAGCATGCATTTGATTATTAGGATTATCTGGCGCGAGTGTCTTTTATAGGGCTTTTTCGGCACATGTATCATTGTCGTCAGTGTTTTTGGCGTGTTAAAATTCCATGATGGTTAGTCGTGTGACTAGCGTTACCATATCTAAATCACAAAAAAAGGATACACATGTATACATTTTAAAAAAGGGTGATTTTTGCGAGAGCGGAGAAAGAGGAAGTATAATTTTATATGCATTAAATGTAGGTATTTAATGAAATAAAATTTCTAGAACATTATTTTTATTTATAATTCTTAGTAATATAATTTTATAAATACATAAAATTTTAAGAGTAACGGCTGGTAATCCTAGTCGTAACTGATTATTATGGACCTCAACATATTGTAAATTGAAGACTATACAGAAACAGGAAGCACTGATCAATAATCCATAATAATCGATTCTGCTAGCGTCGTTTTTACGAACCCATGATCTATCTTTATTTTTTTCTTAAATGATTATTGATGGATATTTTGATGGATGACGCAAAAATACGAAGTTTAAGCAAAGGCAACATAGTATTTAGTGCACGCGAAGACAGAATTTTTTCATGAATTAGATCAGCAATTTTTACATAAAGATCGTTACTGTGTTTTTAATTGAACGAACATACAAAAATGTAGGCTAATGGATGGATTAAGATAAACAGCTATTAACGGAAGACAAATGATATGATGACAGATACAGGATTTGTCGTTATTTTCTATACTTTTTTCACTCAAATCTTCACTCAGATCTTTAAAAAAGGGAAAAACGCAAGAATATACGAAAACAGCTTAAAATAAATAAACTTATAATCGGTTTTTACTTATAAAAGGTTTTTTAAAATATTTAGAAATTGCAATGTATTATTATTCTTCGATATTATGTTATAAATCGCGATAGATATTTACCGATATTATACTGTGTCTAAATATTATTAAACAAATATTATTAAACAAATCATGTTATTAAAAATAAATCTGCTTCCCTCCTCTTTTGGCACAAGTGTCAACGAAGATAGATATTACTGTAACGCGATAAATTTCGAAAAAGTTCTGGAACTGAAATGTACGGTCGGGGGGTCCAGTGACCCTGCTGAACCTGTTCCCGATCGTAAATCTGACCTTCGGTGACACTTCTGATGCAAGGGATGACCTGAAGGTGGAGGACAGGAATCACAGATTAGGACTACTGTCATCCTCTTCTTTTTTCCTCTTCTTTTTACCGTTCTGTTTACTCATTTGTTTGTACCTTATTAATAATTAATAGTTTGATGACTATATTAATGAAACACGACAAAACAAAAGAAACATTACGTTAAAAAAATTGAGATCTTTTGTGAAGGGCACGAATTACTTCTCAGTTTTTTATCCGGTATATTTTAGCCGATTATAGTTATAAGAATACTGTATAGTAAACAAGAATATTCTGTTTTGACCTTTTTTCAATGTGCATCGTTGAACCGGCATGAAAATAGCGACTTTTCAATATTGGCATGTATCAACATACGTCGATCAACATACTTTTTTATTTGGACTTAGGAAAGTTTACAATTGTACACATACTATGCATGCTGAACATTAAATTTTAAATTAAATTCTTGAAAATAAATTTAAAAAATTTCATAACTAATAAGCAATTAAAAATGTTGAACAAGAATCGATTCCAGGATAACTTTTAAAATTATGTTTCTATTCCATTTTTCTAAATAATCACGATTATTTTCAAGAATCAAGAATCATCTAATATAATAAATTAGAACAATAGTTTGATGGAATGCGGTCTACAGCACCGCTGATTTGTGCAAATGCTTCAAAACAGGATCCAACGAGACGTGCAACGAGATCGAAACACAGAAACTTGGCACATCGTACGACAATGCGAGCAGCCCTTAGCCACGTCGTGCGGAGTGTTCGCGCGCGCAAATTGCAATCATGGGTTTTCGATTTCCAGCCTCAAGGCGATCGCGATTCAGCAAATTGTCTCGTACTACTGTTCGAATTTCCTCTTGTCGACTACGAGAGGTTTGTCGGAGTTTCAGCTATGCGAGTTAGCGTTTGCGGGTCGGAAAATCGAACGAGGCTATGAGAATCGAAACGAGACAAGATTTTCTTCGCCTCGACAAAAAAATTTCCGTCTAGATTGGACGAGGCGCTTCGCAACGCAAAGTAAATTATGCAAGAACAAGGTTCAGAGTTTCAGGCGGTACCATGGATTTTCTTAAGTTTTTTTTTACGACTGAATTAAAACGTGCTCCAAGTAATTGAAATAACGAATTAAAAGAGTAGTAAATCACATAATTTAGTTAATTTATTTTCTGATGCTGCTGTTTCTCTCTGAGAATATTATTCTTTTTAATAATCAAACGATTACGTGTTTATTAATACAAATAAAAATTCTTTATACATGCATACAGAATATCTTATACAGAATATCTAAATTTTATGTATTTTTGTGTATTACACTATACTATATATGTATAAAAAATAAGTCAAAAGAAAAAATTCTATTTTTGATCGAAGCGGATCTCAATGCTTAATAATTCATATGCAAATTTGCAAATATATTCTTCAATTCTATAAACTGCGTGTCGATTTAGTTTGTCAGATTGAAACGCAAAAAGAAAAAAATAAGTTATCTGCTCAATCGTGTGTCTGATTATCTCGTAATTTATTCAAGTACTCAAACCGATTGGTCAACAAGCAGTTACTATGACAAATTGCATAGCATCATCAGCTCTTTAGTCTACGCACTTCAGCTAATTGAAGTGCGGATGTCGCTGCTTAACCCCAGTCACGACCTCCCTCTAGGCTCATTTTCTACTCCACGGGAAACCACGTCCATCCCCAACCTATTCATTTTTTTTCTTTAGATGGCCTCCCATCTGCACAGATTTCCTGCTTCGTAAAGCAAGCTTCTGACCTCGACCGAGCCGTCAGAAGAGTGAATAGAAGCGGAGCAGTATAGCCAGCAACCGCGGCATCGTTCATGAATATTCCTACAGCTGAAATTGCTCGAATATCTTGGAGGTAGTTCTTGTCCCTGCGGCGAGGGACGACTCTTTTTGCTATCCTTCCGTTAGCCCCACTTCAAAATGACGCATAACAGCGACGATGAAAAGTTACCAAACTCATGCATGTGGTGCAAAGCTTTCTTTCAGCACACAGCTTTTTTGAACATTTTTACGCACCTTTAATGACATCGTTCCGATCCGTGAATTATTCAAGTGCATGCTACGCATGATCTGCGTGCCAGGATTGCACCTGCAGAAATGAACGAAGCTAAAAGCCTCGTAAAAATGAACACGATTTTTTTTGAAAAATTTACTTGTAATTTAAAGTTAAATTAAGTTAATTATTTGAAGTTAGAAATTTAATTACAATTCCTAATATTGAGTTTGGTTGAATATGTTAATTATCAGATACAAATTCTAGAAATTATGTACTGAAAGCGTTGATGTAATTTCATCATATTAATCTTTTCGCATTTCTGTATTTGCATTTGTAGATATTCTGTTTATCAATTCTCTCTTTGTTCTTACTATCTTTTCATTTCTTTAATTATAATTATTATTTATTGTTCACTACTATTCTTATACTATTATTCATGCTTTCTTTTAAAAGTTAAATTTTATTTTATAATTTTCCATGTCAAACATTGTAATATTTGATTTTAAACCTATTTTTACTTACATATTCTCGATAATAAATATTGAGATCTTTTATAAATATTCTTAAAATGCAGTTTTACGAAATAGTAATCGATATATGATTCAAGAAATATAAACAAAATGTATAAAATTTGCAAAGGGTTATTAGGTATAAAATCTTGCTCCTTAATAAAAAATCAAATATTTATTTATTCTGTGTTTTATATATATGTGCATGCGTGCATGCGTGCGTGTGTGTGTGTGTGTGTGTGTGTGTGTGTGTGTGTATGTCATATATTGATATTCGTTTATTAAAGTATTCATTTAAGTTTTTTTTTATAGATGCGTGATCATGTCAAGATTAAGTTTATAATAGATATTTTAATAAATAAAATTTCCACGCAATTGTGAACGGAATTAAAGAAAAATGTCAAAAACAAGTCTGAATGGGTCGGTATGTACGCCATTTGATTTTATGGTGCACAACTGGCGACAATGATTATGAGAGTGTTAACGATCGTCGACGACCGACTTAAAAGAAATACAACGAGAATCCGTGAGCTGTGTTCAACTACATACAGTAGGTCTTTCCCGAAAATGGGTCTTCCTTGAGAAAATTTCCTTTCCTGAATTGCACTTGGAACGCACCGCGACGTTTCCGGAAGGAATCTCTTAGCAAGTTAAATGAATCGCAAACGATTGCCTACAACGGCAACATGATTCATTTCATTGTGCACCGTTAGAAAGAGCTTCGATGGGAACGATCGTCAAAGTAACGAATTTCCTCATGACGATTCAACATCGTATCGTTCGCTGTGGAACGGAAAGGTTGTACTTTGTCCGCCGCGGAATTTAGATCGATAGCGACACGGATTTGAATCTTCTCACCGAACATCGTCCGTCGTTTAAAGAAATTACGGATCGATGGCTCGTATTTTCAGTTATCGATGGCTTTCGTGATACTTTCCGAACATTATGTGAGGTTGGAAGGAATTTAAAGAGAAGAGGAAATGTTATAGACAATCTTAGAGATCACCAATTAAATGATTTTTTTTAAATTGATAATTAAATTGATTGTACAAAATCGCTC